GACCTAGAGTGTAAGCAGCTTTATCAAGATCTGATTTCTTCGGAATATACTCATTCTTAATATTAATAATGTAGTCTTTTGTAATAGCCACTGCAAGTCGGCCTAGACGATAATCCCAATACCACAATTGTTCTTATTTGATTCCATATAAAGCGATTTATTTTTACGTCACAATAGCTTCTGGTTCAATTTGTTGGACGTTCGAGTGCCACTTTCTGTTTAAATATTGCCTAATGACTATTCATAAAAGGCTTTTCAGACATCCATCTCCTATGAATACTATATAAACCCTATTTTAGCATTAATCAGTTTAGTTTCCCTTTCGCTAACATCTTTGGCCAGTTATACACTATGTTCCCTATCTGTCCATATAGCATTTTGTTTTAAGTATAATATTAATGAGCTCTTACGTTTAGGCAATATAAAGGCATATGTATCAAAGCGCCGCATTGAAATAGGTTTTAAACTATTCTAAAGATAAAAATCTTAGAAAATTTTTATTTTCTCATGTAATTTCCATTTTAAGACCGATCTTGGCTGTAATTTTGCATGTTAACCTAATAAAAAAGAAAATTTTTTACATTTTTTCCTTTGTAAGCGGGTTTTCTAGACGAAATGTATCTATCCTAATTAGTTTAAGGTGATAAGAAAGGTAGTATGAGAAAATGCCTTGCCTTGAAATCCGCATCTTCTTGTGACCTAAGGGTACTCGTGTCAGTCTGGTGTAGTGGCCAGTGTCGGGATTATACGCTACATTGTCATGATTTGAGTCCCACTGTGGGTGCCGATATAAACTAGGTGAGATCGAAATTGCAGTTGAGTATATCTTTAGGGAAAGCAAGACTATGCAATTTAATAGAAACGTAAGGTCTACTCGTATGATTGTGGTAAAATTCAAATACTACTCCCTTTATCACCTTAGACAAAATAGAGTGAGTACATCTCATATATAATAGATTACATGACTTTTCGCAAAACCTACATTCTCCATGCATTTTTATTATGGACAGACTTATTTCTTCTAACTTGTTTGGTTTCGTTGTTGTAGCTTTATAGGAACAGAACACTTAGTTGAGTCGACCTTGGGCTGAGTTCTATATTAGGTCACTTATATATTCGTTCGGACTTGTGTCCCTTTTGTGATCTTTTTGAAGGACATTGAGCTGGCATTGTTTTTTTACGCTCTTATGCAAAGTGGCTTCGAAATCATAGAGAAGCAACTGCTTATAGTGACTGAAGTAGTCACCTTGTATTGGTTAGCTGCCTTAAAAAAATTACGTCTGCTTTATTCCGCCAATATTATTCTCATCATCTTATTCCTTCCATCAACCGTCTGCCAATTCGTGTACGCGCAGGATCTTGCGAAACTCGTGTCCCTTATCTCTCATTCATCTTACTGTCAGGCTTCTTCTGTTATCATCCTTCTTTGCACCGACAATCAACTAAATATAATTACTCACTAAAATTTTTCAAATCTTGGTTTATTAGAATAGCTAGATGTACGCTTCTCTGAAATGTTCATAATCATCGCAATGTAAGTAGCTTCTGGGGATTTCGGGAGGTGGTTATCCGTACCATGGCAAAGAATTAGCTCGTAAATAGCGTATAAAGCACCTGTGGCTTGGTAATTATCTATTTATTATCCCTATTCTTAGCTGGCAGATGCATGAATGTGGCAATGAATATGACTATGAATAACATCTCTTGTGTGTAGTGGCAGGGCAATGTGCTAATCTTGATAACTAGATGTATTGCGATTATTTAATTAGGTGATGAGAATTGGTTGTGTATGCATCAATAGGTGGGAGGCATGTAGTGAATTAGAGTATTATTACTAATTCAAAAAACTTGTGGTCAGTGGAATTAGCTCTCATTGCTCTTAAATTTTCTATGTTAGTGCTCAATATTACTTCAAACGCAAAGTGCCAACTTAGTGTCGGAACTAGACTTAGAATTTCCCCGGCTAACGGTCTATTTATGGAAGGATATAATTACTTTATAATTGGGTACAAAATTGCGTATGGATAATATGCGAAAACTAGGTCAAGCCAACTCTATGCATATAAAAGAGTCTGCGACCATTTTGCCTAGTTTGAGCAAACTATATACTTTGCTAGTTCCGTTTGTCGAATTCTGCTAGTATCCCATGTGACATTCTTTCTACGATGTTCTTTCTCATGCTTTACTTTAATGTGCTGTTTTTTACTACCTATTCTTAGCATTGTCATTTCTCGTGTGTCTATCTGTTTTTTCTTTTTGCAGCATTTTTAAGGTATCACTAACTGTTCATTATGCTGTCATAATGACTTGTTTTTTCTTTCTTATTTTAGGGCCATGGAGATAGCTTGTCAGATGCATCCCTTCTTCGTCTCCTCTCTACTGGCAAATTAAAGACACGCCAGCTGGAGTCAGTTACCTGTGGTTCTACTTTGCGAGCTGTCGAGTTAAGGCGCGCTGATTTGGCGCGTCTCCTTGGCTCTCCTCATTCTCTCGATGGTATCCCTCATTATAACTATGACTACAGACCTGTTATGGGACGGTGTTGTGAAGAGGTAGCTTATCGTGCATTTAATGGTATACTCAGAATTATAAGATGTATTCACCTTACTTCTTTTAAGGTGATGAAGGACTGGTAGTTGAATTTTTCCACAATGATATGAGTAGAGCTGACGTTTCCATTGAATTGCATATAGCTTTGTTTTCCCAAAAGATGTTTTTATTTATGGCGGACTACATTTTCGACCTTGCATCTTATCAACACTCTTAGCGGGAGTCGAACTTTGACAATGCAGCGTGTAATCTCGGCACGCTGATGACTACGTCATATTGCCACGAGTGCCCTTGGATCACAGGAGAAATGTGAATTTCATGAAAGGCAAGGTATTTTCCCATATTATATCCTTTAGCGGGACTGTCGATGAAACAAAGCTATATTTGCTATCATAATTGACTACATTACTTATTTTTAGTTTAAAAAGTAGGGTTTTGGGGCTACCAGAATTTTCCTTTGCTTTGACAATCGCTTATTTACTGTTTTTCATCTAAGTGGGGTTTTTCCAACTTCAATTATGATGCATTTATAGTTGCTAAATTTTTTATTTAGCTATGTGAAATCAATGTAGTTTTGATACACATTATTGCAGACTAACAGCCATATTAAGAAGATACTGGATGAGGATTTCATTGAAAGGAATTTACAGTTATCACTTATCAGAGTTTTAGGTTTTGAAATTCCAATATTCTAACTTCTAGTGTTTTAAATGCGCCTCTTCCACTCAGATTAACTGCTTACCCATTGATCGACTTGTCAATCACCTTACTTCCTTGTTTAGATTATTTTATTTTAAAAATTCTCTTCATATGGATATTAGATTATTAGTTGCATACTCTAGTCTGAGTAATCTAGAATCGTCTGTACTGTTAGGAGTTTCATTATTCAGTTAAGTTTAAATCGTATTACTTTCAAGATATAGAACTATTTTTGGAGGCCATCTATTTCTTTTGCCTTTGACTGAAATTATTCACTTCTAATAGTTGGTAAAATAACAAGTTTCTGCTTTATAGAAGTAGTTTGACTACGTTTTCGCAACTTGGTCATATTGGTAAGAAAACTTAGAGAAACGCACGTTGTCCGGAGTCAGTCAACTAGCTCTAGTCTCCGCCGCGTCTATTTTGTTTCTATCCCTAATATCAAGTCTAGGATTTGCTATGCCAACCCACAAATGTTGTTGTACTGCTTTCTTTGATTAGGTTCAATGTTGAACAACAACATTTGTGGGTTGGGTCTTCCTACCAAGTTGTGAAAACAAGGTCAAACTACTTCTATACAACGAAAGGAGATTGAGATCATACAAATGATCACACCATCTTGGTCTTCATTTTTTCTTTATTTTCTGTTTGCAATTATTATTTTATCATCAAGGTTATAGGCTATGTCCCGATTCCAATCGGTAAAGTTGGGCCTCTCTTGTTAGATGGCACGGCGCATTACCTCCCCTTGGCAACTACAGAAGGCTGTCTAGTAGCCAGCACTAACAGAGGATGCCGAGCCCTATTTCTGTCAGGCGGCGTCACCAGTGTCATCTACAGGTATGCAAATTCGCTTTTTATGTCTTCCTTATTTTTCAAGTCCTTACCCTATTTGGGGCTTATAAAATTGCTTTAAATTGGTAT